CTTCGGGGTTTAGGAATAGAATTCTCTTCCTTCCATGTCTAAGGAACCTCCTCCACAGCCCCCAAGCCCAGGAGCTTCTCCTGAAGAAGGATGGGGAAGTGGGGCGGGGTGGGGTGGGGTGGGAGGGGTGGATAAGAATTGCAGGGTATAGCCCCAAGCTACTGTGTCCAGGACCCAGTGGTTTGACGTAACCTGCAACCAGGCCAAGCAGTAGGGAGAGAGGCAGTTGAGGAAAAGGCGGGTAAGATCCGGTTGGCTGACTGGGGCGCCACTCTCGGGCACCCCCCCAAAATTATCGCTTCTGGCCCCCTAGGTGTTTGGCAGGCCCAGGCTGGGTGGGTGAGTGGGAGGAAGAAGGGCATTGGCGACTAAAGCTAGCATCCTGTCTCCTAGTAGAGCCCTGACGGGGTTGCCAGGGTCTTGGCGGTGGTGGCAGTCGGAAGGGCTTTCTGGCTGATTGTGGAGTGTGCATGCCCAACAAGTGAAGGGTAATTCTAGTGTCCTTCAACCCATGCAGCCTGATCAGAAAAGAGACCAACTCCATCAAAGGGAAGGTCCTGAATCGTGGTCTGCATCTCTTAAGAGAGGCTCATTGTTTGGAGCCAGGAGCTGCGTCGCATAACCACTGCTGATGTGACCACCCTGCCACTGAGTCCATTGCGTCCCATACCATCTGCAGGGAGCATCTGGCCGCCACAGTATCCTCCTCTACCAGGGTGTCAAACGTTTGGGCCAGACCCCGAGAGAGGGATTCCTGGAACTTTTTGAGACCCCCAGAGGATGAAATTGTACCGGCCAAACAGGGCCTGATGGTTTGCCCGGAATTGCAGGCTGGCGGTTGAATAAATTTTCCTCCCAAATAAATCAGGTTTCTTGGCCTCTGTTTTCGGAAGGCGAGGAGGTGTGAACCTGCTTGTCCTCAGCCGCAGACACAACCAGCAAGCCTGCGGCTGGGTGGGCATAAAGGTATTCAAAACCTTTGGCCAGAATGAAATACTTTTTCTCAGCCCGTTTCGAGGTGGGAGGGGTGGAGGAAGGGGTCTGCCAAAGGGCCTTGGCTATCTTGAGAACCCTGTCATGCACAGGCAGGGCAACCCAGGTGGGTGTAGAGGCTGAGAGGACATTGAAGAGGGTGTCCTCCTGCTCTGCCATCTCCTGCACCTCAAGCTCTTGGCCACGTGCCGGAGAAGGGCTTGATGCTTCCTGAAGTCATCCAGCGGGCTAGCTCTCAAAGGTCCCACAACCGCCTCATCCAGGGATGACGAGGAAGACTGGACTGCTGGGGGAGGTGCTGGAGTCTCGACCACCATCGGAGAAGGAGGCTTAGGGGTGGGCACAGGTTCCTCCGCCCCAACCTCAGAACTGGCATCCGGTACCACCGACCGATGCTGTGACACAGCCACCGAGGAGTGCTGTGAAGGGGGCATCATCATGACCGGTACACCCCATGCGCTCCAATAAGGCCACTAGTCATGCTGCCACTGTGATGCCACAAATGAAGGAGCGGGATCCGGTGCCCAATCTCGCCGATGGGACCTGGGCGATGGGCTGAACTGGCCCTCCATACCGGAGGAACCACCTTCCTGCAACCAGGGAGGAGCCGTTGACACCTGCATTTGCTTACTGGTCGTGGCTACTGGCGTTCATTGACTAGGTGTAACAGACCTCTGATGGTACTGGGGAGAGTGGTACCGGTGTCGGGGAGACCGGTACCAAGATGGGGAACGCTCCCACTGTGCCTGCACTCGATACCGACACCTGGAGGACAACCTCTTAATGGTATTGCAAGCACCTGGGTGGTACCGTAGAGTCCATACTTCTGACAGAGAGATAATTGGTTTTAGCTGGTAACAAAGATCTAGCTTCAGGGTCTTACAGGTGCCAGAAGGACCTTCGTCAGACCGCGACCTCCCTTTTTTAAAGCAGAAAGAGGAAACTTGTCTTTCTTCTGTTTCACACGCAATTTAGGCTATGTCTACACTATGAGCTCGGGGTGTGATTCCCCTGCTCATGTACACATACTCGTGCTAGCTCAATAGCCATGTAGTCTCACTTGCATGGGTAGTGGCAGTGAAGGCACAGCTGAGCCATGCAGAGTACAAACCCACCTGAAACCAGTGGGTATGTACTCAGCACAGCTCAGCCATGCTGCCACAGCTGCTAGCTGTGCTACCGTGGCTATACTGCTATTTATACTCATGCTAGCTCAATGGGAACTAGTGAGAGTACGTGTACACAAGCAGGGGAATCACACACCTAGCTCATAGTGTAGACATAGCCTCAGATGGAGACCTGCTTCTATGCTTTTTGGAGAAAGAATGCTAAGACCTCCTTCTTTTGTGGTGGGAAGAGGGAATTATACCAACATCAGCAGAAAAATGCTTTAATGAAGAAGCAGGAGCCCTAGAAGCGAAGGCAGAGAAAGTAGCTCCAGGGCACTTTTTATGGAGGACTGCTCGGAGCCCAAAGGATCCTGCCTTCCTGGTCTAAGACAGCCCTCACAAAAGATAGAGGTAGTACCTTACATAGAAGGAAGAGCGTTTACTTGAGCATCTCTCACTTTCATTGTTGATTTAAAAAACTAATGACAAAGCACATTTCTCTGTGATATGTCCCTGACCCTCACTGAAAGAATAAACATTTTGAGCACCCGTTATTAAGGGGGAACAGCTGCCTCACATGATGAACAATACTTAAAACCAGGATATTACTGATCAACCATAACGCTGAAGAAAAATGTAAAAGAATTCACCTAACTTCTTCTACCTAGCTAACCCTAAGCTACGGTAAGAGAACTACGTACAAATACTAGTGGAGAAGTGTAAGTGCAAGAGCCAGGGACACTGTTCTTTCAGTCCCATCTTGCAGCCACAAACATTAAAAAAGAACTGACAGTCAGCTGGTTTCCCTTCCCTTGGGCATGTGGTATGCAGGCGTGGCCCAATGGATGCTGCTGGTCAAAAGATTCTGATGTTGAATACAGAGGGCACACGTGCATCAGAAGTAGCATACATACAGGAAAGCACTCAAAGAAGAATTTTGTATTCCACATAAAGTCCTGACTGAAGGTTGAGCGGATCAGGGATATATATATATTTTTATATAGTTGTGTTCCATGGGATGGGCATCTGTTGTCTTATAGGAAGTACGAACACATGCCCACACTTTCAAAACCACTCAGCAAAAGAATATTTGATTTTGAAAAAAGAACTAGTAGAGGAAATCAGACTTTAGGCCCATGACTGACATGAATGCCAAAGGCACACTTGACCTGTTGATCCACCAAACAGCACTGGAAATTTCAGAATGATTTTGAAGGAGACACATTACTGCTCTTTTAGAGAGAGGGGAAAAAAATAAAAGTGAAAGAAGTGAAGTGCTAAAAAGAAATGAAAAGGATGTACTATTTGGGGGATATATGTAGAGGATTTATTTAAAATAATGAAGTATAGATGTAAGCAGGGTCTGAATGAATGCTTCCCTGACAGCTAGCTGGGAGGGAGAGAGACTTTGGGTGTGTTTATGTAAATACAGTTTGCTTCTGCTCTGCTTACATTGACACCACTGTATCTGTTGAATAAGTGATCAACTTTGGCTGGTGTTGGGTACAAATCACCTTAGTATTGAATGCAGGGGTAGTGAAATATGGTTACCAATGTTGAAATTATTGTAGGAATACAGGAAAGCAGAACTGTGCTTAACCTGTCCCAAATGAGGGGACCTCAGTTGAAAGAACTTCGTTAAGCCAGGGACTCGAATGTCAGAGCCCTGTGAAAGTAAGAGGGGTGGGGACAGGTATCCCAGCCAGGAGGCTGTGCACTCTCATCAAGGGTCCTCCCTAGTCTGGTTTAACCTGTTCCTCCCCACTGTTCAAAGAATAGAGCTAAATAGGCTTCATAGGAGCCTCTTTGTTATGTTAAATGCCCAATCAGAGCTGAAATCAATTGTGGTAGGACTGTGTTTCTGCCCTGCCTGCTAAGAGCTAAAAATTACTAAGGGACTGATGTGCAGAGGTCACAGCAGAGAGGCAGGTAGCAGCAGAAGACAACTGACAGCAGGTGAATGAGTGGCTGGTGTGGCGGAGAGGCGTGGCAAGAGCAGTAAGCAGGCAGCAGTGGAGAGGCATGGTGAGAGTGGTGAACAGGCAGCCAGCAGGGCAGCAGCAGAGAGGCGCGATAAGCAGCCAGCAGTGCAGCTGATGGAAAGGTGTGGTGAGAACGGAGAGCAGGCAGCCGGCAGAAGCAGTGAGCAGGCGGCCAGCAGGAGCGGTCGGTGAACAGCCAGCAGGATGGCTGGCAGAGAGGGGCAGTGAGACACTGCCCGAGCAGCGGAGCAAATAAGGTACCTCTTTACCCCACCCAGGAGAGGAGGTGAACTCTGCAGATGTACCTCTGAACTCTAGGTCTGCATTGACCAAGGACAGCAACTGTGAGTGGGGTGCAAAGACGGGTTAGGCACATGAAAGGGATGTTTGGGTTGCTGGACTTAAGAACCTGAGGGGAAAAGGACACTGTCCAACCTACTTGGGGGTGGGTCTTTTATTCATGGTTTATGTTTATGAACCCTGTTTGTGGTGTTTTCCCAAATTAAAGCAGAGTTACTTCCCTCCTTCTATTAAAAGTTTCTTTTCTACATTTAGACTCTGTGCTTGCGAGTGGGGAAGTATTGCCTCTCAGAGGCACCCAGGGGTGGTGTGTAAGTTTCCCAGGTTCCTGGGTGGGGGCTCGAGCCAGTTCTGTGCTGTATCGATGGAAAGGAACCTCTAGATATTGAACCCGGCCCTGGTTTCTGCTGGCTCCACCTGGCAGAAGGGTTACATAAGATGTGCACTTTAAGGTGGATGCAATGTGCTGCATGTCAAAGTGATTTGAGTATATTATTTAGTTAATCTTGTCAATAATTACAATGAATACCCTAAAACGATGATACCGGATTTTTCTAGGGGGATTTAACAACAAATATTAAAACCTCAAAGAGTTACATAATTCTGTAAAATATACCTTGCATGCCTGACATGAGAAAGTAACATTAACAAGTTAGCCAAACGAGTTGTCTGTTGCTGAGATGGAATTCCACTTTTTGCAATAACCCACACCAAAGCATCAGTTACTGCATTAAGCAAGTGAGGTAGCTTCCTGTTGCTTTCAGATTCTTCTGCAGCAGCTGACAATGGAAACATATCTAAACAAAGAGAAGACAGAATAGCATTACAACTCACCAGAAAAAAACATGAGCATGGATTGCCTTTGGATGTAATTTTTCAATAGAATCAAATAAAATAAATTCCAAGTCCTATTAAAATTATATGTATGATGCTTCACGTTAGATCTCGATCTCTGATAGAAACTTTTTTACTCATCAGTTCTGTCGTGCCATTTGCATACTTAAGTATCCCCCAATCTTATAACTACATTAACAATTGGCTTATAATATCTACTAAAGATACAGGGCCAGATTCTTGGGTCTGGCTGAGCTTCACTTACCTTTGCATTCTCCAAGTTTGGATGTCCCCAGGGGTTACTCCAGCCCTTTGTTTAAGTACGAGCAGTTTCATAGCTTCTCTAACTGCTCCCTCCCATCTCTGAAACAGCTCCTACATAGGAATGGGGCTAGGAGCAAAATGGTACATAACTCACTCAAACACTTCACTGGATCAGGGCTTTATTGCTTATCAAGTGAGTGAGGAAGGCACTGTGCGTGATGTACAGCCAACTCCTTGGCTCTACCTGCTCAAACCTCCTTACAAGTCAGAAATTTGTCATAATACTAGCATAAACTGTGAAATGTTAAAAGAGGCATTAAAGATAGAAACAAAACAAATTAATTAGGGAAGACTGTGGGAGGAGTAGGCAAGGAAGTAGTTGAAACTAGCATTATTGATGGAGCAGAGGAGACCAATATGACAAAACAGAGCTGGATAATTAGGGAGGTGCAGAGTTCTGAAGGGCCTTGAAGGTTATGACATGAATTTAATATGGTGGAAGAGCAATGGAGGGATTCACAAAGGAAGATGGTCTTAACGGATGCTGTGATAAATGGAAGGGGGGAGCTCCCTTTTATGGACACCCAGCCAGTCAGTAGCTATAGAAGCCTCCTTAGCAGCTGTACCCTAATTGCCTTAACTGCAAAGGGTTAAGAGAAGCTTAACCTGAGTTGGCACCTGACCAGGGAACCAACAGGGAAGCTGTAACCTTTCAAATTGGAAAAAAACTGCTGGGTGTGGGGTTTTTTTCTTTGTCTCTTGGGCTGGAGAGAGGGGAAGGCAGCAACAGCTGTAAGCCAGGTATGGGAAATCATTAGCATCATATGTAGAAACTCCTCATTTGGAACCCCAGATATGTAAGTAGCACAGGAAAAGTTAAGACACATGCGATTAGGAATCTTTTTGGTTGTTTTGGTTTGTGGATTCCTCGGTGCTAATCCCAGGTGCTTTTGTTTTGCTTGTAAACTTTAAGCTAAACCCCAAGAAAGTTATTTTTGGTGTTTAATTCCTAAAGCCTGCGTTTTCAGATGTGTTTCTTTCTTTTTTAATAAAATTTACCTTTTTTTTAAGAATCCTTTGATTCCAAAGTCCTTAGACAAGGACTGTGCTCACATTGCTAAGGCAACTGGTTGGTATTTTATTCTCAAGCCTCCCCAGGAAAGGGGGTGAAGAGGCTTGGGGGATAGGGATTCCAAGTGACCCTTCCTTGTGTCAGAGAATAACAGAGTTCTCACTTTTTGTTTGATTTGTGAAAATCACTTGGTGGTGGCAGCAATATCTGTCCAAGACAGAAGACTGTGCCTTGGAAGAGTTTTAACCTAAGCTGGTAGAAGACAAGCTCTGGGGGTCTTTCATGCTGGTCCTCACATCTGTACCCCAGAGTTCAGACTTAGGAGGGTATACCCTGACATGGTGGCACAGCGGTGGGATCATTTTGAACCAGAAGCACAGACCTCAGGATTTTACAAGGACACATTTTTCCTTTTGGCTGCTTGAAAGCCAGGGAGAATTTTTTTCTTTTCTTTTGCTGCCTGGTGGGGGGGAGGAAGGGGGGGAACAGGCAGGCAAAGGGTTCAGCCTACACAGCCAGAGTCCAACAAGCAGTTTATTTTTTTTTTCTAGTTCTCGTGGCAACAAAGTAGCTAGGCTAGATTAGGACAAGAAACAGCCCAGTGCATGAAATTGCAGGCGGTCATCAAAACCCTAGAGCAACCAGTCTTCCCAAAGCAGCACACCTAGGAGAAGAGACCCAGATCAGGCCCAGACATCCAATCCCATGGCAGAACTGCTGGGAGAGGCTTTGGGACTGGAGATTTCCCCAGCAGGGATGGTCAACCCTCCCCAACCCAAGATCCAGGTGCCAAGATGGAGGAAGGCCCTTAACCTAGACTGAGCTCTAACTGCAGAAGACAGGATGTTCTTCCTAAGGATGAGGCGCTGAAAAACAGAGGTGGAGGAGAGAAGGGAGGAGAAGCGCTTAGCAGTGGAGGAGAAGAGGGAGAAGATGCGCTTAGAAATGGAGCTGGAAAAGGCTACGCTGGATCAGATACCAGAAGGGCAACCTGAGACGACACCCCACCATCGGAGTCAACCCAAGGCCCCATCTCGCAAGGAGGAGCCCTCCACACAGCCAGGGAAAGCCCAGATGCCCTCTCGTCCTACTCTCCAAACACCCTCCGCATCACAGCCAAAAGTCAGCTGGGCGATGCTTTAAATGTAATTAGCTGGGGCATGTGAAGGACATCTGCCCCAAGAGCACCAGCTGACTGCAACTCATCACCTTGGGATCCCACTGAGAGCCTTCAGGCCCAGATGCCTCACAAATACCCCCAGAGCTAAGGGAAACTGTGAGTGTGGGCCAGAGGAAGATTACTGCGTGGAGAGACACTGAAGCACAGGTGTCAGCTATGCACCAATCCCTAGTGGACCCCAAATTCATCAACCCAGAGGCCCAAGTGATGGTGCAACCCTTTAAGGCCAACTCTTTTAACTTGCCTACAGCCAAGTTGCCTGTCCAGTACGAGGGCTGGTCAGGAATATGGACTTTTGAGGTCTATGATGATTACCCAATTCCCATGCTGCTGGGAGAAGACTTAGCCAATCATGTGAGGCTAACCAAAAGGGTGGGGATGGTCACCTGCAGCCAAGCTAAACAGGCCTCCACACCTAACACCATTCTTGAGCCTCCTACAAGGGCCCAGCCTGTGTCCCGAGATACCACAGGCTCAGGGACCCAGAACCAGACCCCTGACCAAAGTCTACGACAGCGGTTGTAGATCCAGTTCCTGAGACCCAGCCAAAACCAGCCCAAGGATCGGAACTGGCGGAGCAGTCAGCACTAGATCCCGTGCTTGCAACCCCACCAAAGTCAGGGGAGCCAGCAACAGAGGGCGCCACAGAGCCTGCGCCTGCAGCAGCAGCTAAACCTGAGCAAGAGGCTCAACTGGAGCCTGAAATAGAACCTATTGCACCAGCGAAGAGCAGTTCACAGTCGACGGAGACACCCCCATCACCTGCATCGCTTCCAGTGGGACCAAGCCCAAGTCCACAACACAGTGAGGAACTAATGTCTCCAGCATCAAGGGAGCAGTTCCAGGCAGAGCAGGAAGCAGATAAGAGCCTTAAGGGACATTGGACGGTGGCACGGAGTGACCCACTGCCTCTCAGCTCTCCTAATAGTTCCAGGTTTGCTGTTGGAGGAGGACTCTTATACAAGGAGACCCTTTCTGGTGGGCATAAGGAGGACTGGCATCCTCAGAGACAGTTGGTAGTTCCAACTAAGTATAAGGAAAAGCTCTTGAGCTTAGCCCATGATCACCCTAGTGGCCATACCAGGGTGAACAGGACCAAAAACCACTTGGGGAAGTCATTCGACTGGGAGGGAATGGGCAAGGACATTTCTACCTATGTCCGGTCTTGTGAGGTGTGCCAGAGGGTGGGAAAGCCCCAAGATCAGGTCAAAGCCCCTCTCCAGCCACTCCCCATTATTGAGGTTCCAGTTCATTGTGTAGCTGTGGATATTCTGGGTCCTTTCCCTAAGAAGACACCCAGAGGAAAACTGTACATACTGACTTTCATGGATTTTGCCACCCGATGGCCAGAAGCAGTAGATCTAAGCAACACCAGGGCTAATAGCGTGAGCCAGGCATTGGCAGACATTTTTGCCAGGGAAGGTTGGCCCTCCAACATCCTTACAAATTTGGGAACTAACTTCATGGCAGGGACCATGTAACATCTTTGGGAAGCTCATGGGGTGAACCAGTTGGTTGCCACCCCTTGCCACCATCAAACGGCCTAGTGGAAAGGTTTAATGGGACTTTAGGGGCCATCAGATGTAAATTCGTGAACGAGCACTCCAATGACTGGGACCTAGTGTTGCAGCAGTTGCTCTTTATTTACAGGGCTGTATCACATCCCAGTTTGGGGTTTTCACCCTTTGAACTCGTTTATGGCCACGAAGTTAAGGGGCCATTACAGTTGGTGAAGCAGCAATGGGAGGGGGTTACATCTTCCCCAGGAACTAACGTTTTGGACTTTGTAACTAGGGTGACCAGATGTCCCGATTTTATAGGGACAGTCCCGATTTTTGGGTCTTTTACTTATATAGGCTCCTATTACCCCCACACACACACACCTCCGTCCCGATTTTTCACACTTGCTGTCTGGTCACCCTATTTAACCAACCTGCAAAATACCCTCAAAGACTCTCTAGCCCTTACCAGAGAGGAGGTTGCAGTAACCAAGATGAGAGATGAAGAGGGCTTGGAAGAGAGTTAGCTGCATGGATGAGAAAGAAAACATTGGCTTTTAGAAATATTATGGAGAAAGTAGTAACAAGTTTGGAGACAGCCTGGATATGTGGGGCACGAGAATGGCAGATTTGGTCACATGTGGAACTTAACAAAACAAAACAAAAACCAGCTGCAGTTTGCTGTAAGCAAAAGGCAAACCTTGATGGTGCATGCTGCTTTAAAAAAAATCCAATAATTATCTCAATGAAGCTCCATAAGAATAGTTTAAACCTGCAAATGTGAAGAATGTTCCTATTAGAAGTCCATTATCACAAAGGGTACGTCTATACTTACCTCCGGGTCCGGCGGTAAGCAATCGATCCCGGAAGTGCTCGCCGTCGACGCCGGTACTCCTGCTCGGCAAGAGGAGTACGCGGAGTCGACGGGGGAGCCTGCCTGCCGTGTGT